ACCACACCCAGCACTTTTCCCTGCAACCGCAGGAAGTGCTACACCTGCCCCCATACCTCCTCCCTCACCCCCATCCCAGGCCCCAAGAAGACTTTCCACATCAAGCAGATGTTCACCTGCACATCTGCCAATGTGGTATAGTGCATCCGCTGTACCCGGTGTGGCTTCCTCTACATCGGGGAAACCAAGCCTCAGACAGCTGTCAAGGCAAGGGACAGAATTGATGGTAGGGAACAGAGTTTGTAGCACAAGAAACAACTATTTTAGTCTTTCCAATATTTTGTTTATAATTTTATAAGTGAGTGCCAAGTATAAGAAACATTATTTGGAAAATGTTTGGATGGAGAGATGAAGGGCCCATCATATCTTTTCTATTTATGAGATTTGGGCATATTGGCAAGGCCTGCATTTGTTGTCCATCCTTAATTGTAGGGTCAGCCACATCAGTGTAGGTCTGGAGTCACATATAGACCAGAAAAGGTAAGGAAAGTCAATTCTTCTCTTTAAAGGACATGAATGAAACAGATGGGCTTTTGCAACAAATGATGATAATTTCATCGTCAATATAACTGACACTAAATTACAATTCCACAATTTATGAGTTTAATTATTCTCCATCAGCTGCTGTTATGAGATTTGATCCCATATCCTCAGACTACTAACTCAGGCCTCTGGATTAGCATTCCAACCACATTACTACAACATTACCACCTTCAATGTGAGTGATATGAAGCTTGTGACCCTGTCCAAAAACAACAGTGATTGCAAGAACTTTCGAGGTGTCCAATTGCTGAGCACCATGGGAAAGGACTCTACCCAACTTGCCATTGTCATTCTGCGTATCTTGGAAAAATGCATCTTCCCCACATCCAAGTGTGGTTTCAGAACTGGAAGCTCTATAGCTAACTCTATTTCCCAGCCCTGCAGATGCAAGAGAAATGTTGTGAACAAAGGAAACCGCTTTATTTGCCCTTCATACAACTCACCAAGACATTCCGCAGAGATGGCCTATTTAAGCCACTAGAGAATATTGGCTGCCAATCAAAGATGCTCAATGCAATTTCTTCTTCCCATGAAAGCATGGTGTGTAAGGTCAGTTATGATGGTGGACCTTTTGATGGATGGCTCGAGCAAGGTCTGGCACTAATATCCTCAGGCATAGTTTTCTCTTTGCTGCCATTATATGCCTTCAGATCATGTATGCAGGGTGTCCCCTTGTATACTAGAACTAACAGAAAGCTGTTCAGCCATGTTGGCCTGAGAATGAAGATAAAAGTGTGGTAAGTCTTCATCAGAGTTGCCCTACATTAACAATGCAGCACTGGAATACCATACTGAGGATCGCTTTCCACAGAAAATGGATTAACTCTCTGAGAATCCTGTGAAGAGTTTGGTTTGACCATCAGCATCAAAAAGGCACATGTCACGTCCAGGATGTTATTGTATCACTACTTACCAGCATTGACAACATGACACTAGATGTTGAAAACTTCATATGACAAGGCTCTACAATCGCCAGTAATTGTAACTTGGTGCTGAAATCAATGTCGGTATCGCAAAAGCTGCAGCTGATATGACAAAGTGTGGAAAAACAGCAACCTGCCTGAGAACACTAAAGTGTGTTGCCCCAATATTCAGCGCACTGCTATACAATGGTGAGACCCTGAGCAACACTTTCTACTTTCACTATCTCAGGTGTATCATCACCATCTCTTGGCAGCACAGGGTCACTGACACAGCAAACCTGGTACATGCTAATTCCATCAGCATACATTTACTGCTGAAGCAACAACAACTCAGTGAGCTTAGCTGTGTCCATGACAACCAGAGTCCCAAAGACCTGCACTATGATGAATTGACTACTGGGCCATGGCCTCTTGGGAGTCCATACATCCATTACAATGATCCTCAAGTGAGATATGAAAATGGTGGAAGTTGACACTAATAAATGGTAGCCAGTCGCTGACAACCATGACATCTGGTACCTGAATGTTCGGAGGAGCTGTGGAAAGGGCGAGCAGAAACAAAAAGCTCAGTTGGCCAAAAAAATAAAGCTCATAAGGGTCCACTGCTTTCATCATTTATATAAATGATTTGGATGTGAATGTACGAGATATGGTTAGCACATTTGCAGATGACACCAAAATTGGCAGTGTAGTGGATAGCGAAGAAAGTTACCTCAGATTATAATGGGATCTTGATCAGATGGGCAAATGGGGCAAGGAGCGGCAGATAAAATTTAATTTTGATAAATGTGAGGTGTTGCATTTTGGTAGGCTGAATCACAGTAGGACTTAATAGCAAGGTCCTGGGGAACGTTGCCAAACAAAGAGACCTTGGGGTACAGGCTCATAGTCCCTTGAAGGTGGCGTCACAGGTAGACAGGGTGGTGAAGAAGGGTTCTGACCCAAAACGTCAACTGTCCTGCTCCTCTGATGCTGCCTGGTCTGCTGTGTTTCTTCAGCTCCATACTATGTTGTGATGAAGAAGGTGTTTGGTATGCTTGACTTTATTGGTCAGTGCATTGAGTATAGGAGTTAGGAGGTCATGTTGTACCTGTACAGGACATTAGTTAGGTCACTTTGGAATACTGCGTTCAATTCTGATCTCCCTGTTTTAGGAAAGACGTTGTGAAACTTGAAAGGATTCAGAAAAGGATGTTGCTGGGGTTGGAGGTTTGAGCTATAGGGAGAGGCTGAATAGGTTGGGGCTTTTTTTTCCCTAGAGTGTCAGAGGCTGAGGAATGACCTTGTAGAAGTTTATAAAATCATGAGGGGTAACAGATAGGGTGAATAGCCAAGGTCTTTTCCTCAGGGTAGAGGATTCCAAAACTAGAGGGCATAGACTTAAGGTGACAGAGGCAAGATTTAAAAGAGAACGAAGGGTCAACTTTTTCACACTGTGGGTGGTGCGTCTGTGTAATGAGCTGTCAGAGGCTGGTACAATTACAACATTCAAAAGGCATCTGGATGGGTATATGAATAGGAAAGGTTGAGAGGAATATAGGTCAAATGCTGGCAATGGGACTAGATTAATTTAGAGTAGAGTTGGGCTGAAGGGTATGTTTCCATGCTGTACATCTCCATGACTCTGTAAATTGTGGAACCTCTTGGCCTGCTGTGTTCCATTGCAGCAAATGCGATTCTGCCATGCCAAGGTGAGGTTCCTGGTCTCAGGTGATACAAAACATGTTCTTATGAGAAGAAAGTCTAGCCAATATATAATAATTAACTAATTGATTCAGTAAGCAATAAAATTAAGTAAAATGTAAAACATTTATTATCCCTCCTTTAAGCAAAACCATCACAACCTGGAATACTAGCACAGCAACTTGAAGACAAATACAGTTAATACAACAATTGATAAGGAACAAATTAATGCAAATTTTCACTCCCTGCAAAATCCTGCAGACAGTAACTCCTGTGACTCACTGTCTCTACTCCACATGATACCTGGCGGCTCAGTCCTCATAGCCAAATGTTGAGGGGAGGAAATGTGAGGCTGACAGGAAAAAAAACAAAGCGAGTGAGAATGGAAAGAAAGAAACTAGAAGTAACATTGTAAATAAAACAGAAAGGGCCCCAGACCAAAGACAGAGAGCAAGCAGCTGAGAAAATCGTAACCGTAAGAAACTATGAGATTCCATAAAGCAAATTACATGCATGACAGTGTGAGCAAGTCGGCAGAAAAAATGTGCAATGGCTAGGCTCTGCAGCATGAAACCGATGTTGAAATGAAAGAGCAGAACCCAAGGCAAGTCTATGGCATGCCCATTAAATGTGATGTTCACTTCACCAATAAAAAGACACCGCATTATTTTTGGCTTGACAGAACTAAGGATAAGTTTGTACTTTTCACCCCCAGGGTCTGTTAATTGCATTTCTTCATCAAATTTAAATCAAAGGATTTTGATTTGCCAAAGGGTAGCCTTCATGTACACAGTGAGGTATTTGTACATAATCATGTCTATACTAATAAGTAAGAGACACTAAAACTTTTCTGTCCTCAGTATTTATTCCTACAGTGTCAGGAAAAGCCTAGAGAAATGAGCCAACACAAATCCAGTGTGGATTCTTGTTCTATTGTTCTTGTTGCTATTCTGACCTGTTCCAGACTGTCAATAACCAGGAGGGTGACCACATCCACTTGGGATTAGCCAAGAAATAGTCAGCTTATTTATTTTAAAAGCTACCTACCAGGAAGCAATGAACTACTTGGGAAGACTGGACCCGATATTTTGAAAACCGCTGGAACTGCAGATGTTGCAAATCAAAAACAAAAACAAAAATGGCTGTAAAAGCTCAGCAGGCCTGGCTGCATCTATGGAGAGAAGTCAGAGTTAATGTTTTGGGTCAATTGAACCTTCCCCAGTATCCAAGGACCTAAACACACCTTCCAGATGAAGCAACACTTTACCAGCTCTTCCCACAATCTAATCAACTGCATTTGCTGCTCACAACATGGTCTCGTCTACACTGGGGAAACCAAGCACAGACTGAGTGGCTGCTTCACAGAACACCTATATTCTGTTCGCAAAAAGACCCTGAGCTTCCAGTTGCCTGCCACTTCAACACACCACCCTGTTCCAGGGCCAACGTCGCTGTCTCAGGCTTGCTGCAGTGCTCCAGTGAAGCTCAGCACAAGCTGGAAGAACAACACCTCATTTTCCATCTTGGGAACTTGACAGTCCTCTGGATTCAATATCGAGCTTAACAATTTTATGGCTGGAGCTCTCAAATGTTCTTACCAGGCCTTGTTATCACATAGTCTGCCATTACACATACTAACAGTCCCCATTAATTGCTAGTCACCTTCCTAGCTGGATCATTATCAACTCCTTTGTCTGTCCACTTGTTCTTCTATCTCTATGGTCTCTATCCGCACCTACTGTTTACTCCTTACCCCCCTCCCCCCACCATTTCTTCTGCATATAAACCAACATTTTCCTACCTAACATCAGTTCCGAGGAAGGATCACTGAACCCAAAACTTTAACTCTGCTTTCTCTCCACAGACGCTGTCAGACCTGCTGAGTTCTCCAGAAATTTCAGATTTCCAGCATCCACAGTTCTTTGTTTGCTTTTGAACCCTGGGGACCTTCAGGCTACTGATTGTAACTGGCAAGCAAAAAATACTGAGGTGTTATGGGCTGAATCCAATGCTGCAGACCACAGAAGACCAAAACGTTTGCTGCTGCATTTTCATTTGCACCAGGGTCTTTAGGCTATCTGGGGAATGGTTCGGGAGATTAAATAATGCAGCTTCCTTACATGGACAGCAATTTGCCTCATTGGAAAGAATCCAACCCTTATATTTCTAACCGTAGTGAATTGTGGGCAAACCACAGTTTACTATTCACCCATCATTTTAAACAGAAAGAACATTTTGAAATGAATACTATTATATATTTTTTTCAAATCGCGCTCTCTCCAGGCTCTGCCCTGTAACTAAATCAGTGGTAAAATCATTCAATTAATTTCATCATCTTGCATGCCTTCCAACTTTCTTTTTGGAAAGGGAGTCAAAGACTAGAAAACAACTGCACCTAAAAATATAGACCACAATGATGAGGCATCTGCTAGTGCAGCACAGAGTTAGCCTCTGGCATTCATCATCTTAAAGTACACCAGGTGTCATTCATAAAATTCTATCAATTAAATTTAACAGAGTTTTCAAAAGATTTTTTCTCTCTGAAGAAGAGTCCCGACCCGAAACGTCAATTTTCCTGCTCCTCTGATGCTGCCTGGCCTGCTGTGTTCCTCCAGCTCCACACTGTTAATGCTGACTCCAGCATCTGCAGTTCTTGCTATCCCTTTCAAAAGATTTATTTTGGACCCGAATATACTAGATGTTTTTGAAATTACATACGCTGGTATCTGAAACACTTTAAAAAAATCAACGATGGAGAATTTTCTATGTAATCAGGGAGATGCTAGTAATGTAACTGTACTGAGAAAAGACAGCTTGGTTAGTGACGCAGCTAGTTCTGGAGCACATGTCTTCAGTATTATTCCCGGAATGTTGTTGGGGCCCAAAGCCTCTTCAGTATCCAGAGCTTCCAGTCCTCCACATGATATCATGTGGAGTGAATTGAATTGGCTGAAGAGTAGCAGCTGTGAAGTTGGCACCACTAGCTGAAGAATATTGAAAATGCTACAGCATTATCTTTGTTTTTACTGATGTGCTGGACTCCTCCACAATTGAATCTGGGGATATTCCTGGAGCCTCCTCTTCCAGTGAATTGTTTAATTGTCAATGATCATTGTCCATTGACCACTGGATGTGGCAGGACATGAGAATTTAGAACAAATCCATTGATTGTGCAATCGCTTACCTCTGTCTAGCACCTGCTGCATCACCAGTTTAACCTCCGATGAACTCCATAACTTGGTAAAAATGCATCTTTATCCAATTTTAATGAGTGAATGTCTTGTTTTGATGTTGAAATGTTCCCCCGTGCCTTACTAAAATAATCCATTGCCCAGTTCAGTCAGAAATGCAGCAAAACGACTGACTATTTATAAGTCTAAAAGCTGGATACAATGGCTCTGTGAACACAGCCTGGAATTTGTATATTAATGTAACTTTGTCAGTGATAGCATAAAATGAGAGATTTCCATCAGAATAGTTTAAGTACACACCAATTTGTTCATATTTCTCTGACTTTGTTTTAACTTCTGCACAGTCGTGCCATGCTGAGCAATGAGTTCTGTATACCTGAATACCCCAAGAATGGTCATTCTTCCCGATGAAACATGAGTTGTCTTGTCCTTTTCTTTTTATGCTTTTATATGTCACACCGACACAGCTCCCTTCACTGATTTTAACTTCCCAATAATGGGAACCTTTATCCAACTTTTCTGCACACAATACTTGCCAGCAACAATCAAACCGCTCAGAGTGATCAACATCATAAACTTCCTCTGGCCAGATGTTTGTCACCTTACGGTTCCCCTTGGTCAGGGCAAGGCACTTGTGCGCTGTCTTTGACTCAAACGTTAATTGACGGAAGTGCATGAGAAGCTCCTTCCGAGACTTTGATTCTGGTGGCCTTGGCCAAAGCTGCCCCAATCCTGTCACTTCGGTGCCTAGGTTTTCAACAATTTCATTGCATTTACTCTCCAGTTGATCCTTGAGTTTAACTACAACCTGTCTTAAACCAACCAAACTGAAACTTAAGTCACAGGTGACTTGCAATGAAGCCTTTTCATGATCATTGTTTAAAGCTTTAATCTCCTGCAGGAATTTGAAATTGTCATTAATACCTGAAAGTTGTTCCAGCTGAAGTTTCTTCTTTCTCAACACATCACATTTCTGTTCCTTTTTGACAATGGCTTCTTCAGTTTTAGTCAGCACTGCTTCTTTCTCTTTCTCTATTACTTGAGCTACAGTAGTATTTGCTTTTACAATGTCTTGGACCAATTCCTTGAACTTGGCAGCAATGTCATTTTGCACAGTGACTACTGTGTTTTTAATTGACTCGGTTTGCTTCCGCAAGTCTCCAATCTCATTTTCAGTTATTTTTACAAGGTTCATCAATGTTTTCTCTTTACCTAACAGCTTTTCCTGCTGCCTTACTCTCTCCTGCTCTGCAGTTACGACCATGTGCTCGCTGTGTTCTTGAACTATACAAATGCAGCAGACAAAAATCTCATCACTTCTGCAGAACAGTTCTAGTGGTCTATTGTGTCTCTTGCATTCTCGGTTCTCCATGTTTTTGATGGCATCTACCAGCTTGTGATGGCGCAATGCAGCATTTACCTGATGAGGCCTGACGTGATTATCACAGAATGATGCCTTGCAATCTAAACAGGACTTAGTAGCCTTAATCTTCAGTTTAACACAAAAATCACACACAGCATCATCTGGGTCAACGCATGTCTCTTGAGAAGCTACCGTCTCTGGTTTGGAAACCTTTTCCACCACCTCACATAGGGCAATGTTCTTGCAAAGGAGAGGCTTGTGAAGAAAGCTCACCTGACATTCAGGGCAGGTGTGGGATTTCTCTTTATCCCAGTAGGTCTTGATGCAGTTCATACAGAAGTTATGTCCACAGGGAATTGTAACAGGATCTGAGAACAATTCCAAACAGATGGCACAGCCAAGATCCTCTTCAAAAAGAAATTTCCCCGATGCAGCCATAGTGAAAAGAAAAAGAAAGTGCTGAAAATGAAAGTAAAATGGTAACTTCCTGGATGATTCATCTTGCACAATGAGCTCTGAACAGAGAGAGAAAATAAGTTAGTGAACAGCACCACCTACATTTAAGTAACATCACCTTGTTTCTCCAAATTCCCTCCTTAAACAGCCTCACTTCAAATAGACTAGTATTTACAAATCCCCCACCCAACTTATCATATCAAGTATTGCTCATTGAAAGTACTGCAAGTAAAGAATGTTTTCATAATGCTTTTTTAAGAATACAAGTGCTCACTTACAGAAAACACCGAGCTGGGTACGCCTACATAAATGTTTTAAAAGATCCCCTCTCTTGTACAAGGTTGACCTCACTTGGCACACACCACCAGACTTGACACCAGGATTTTGAATCTGATTCAGGTTGGATAGGAAGCAACTGGCAGCAAAAGGTGGCAGTCACACCGTGAGATTAGATGTTCCACCTTCTTCTCTGAGTGAAACTACACACAGAAAATCAGGGACACAAATTCAACTGGGACAACACAGCCATAATTGCGCAAGCCAAACAGGGAACTCCTGGAGGCCTGGTATTCCAACTAGAACTCCAACAAACACTTTGAATTAGACCCTGTGTACAAACCATTGAGAAGCAGAACTGGAAGTGGCATCAAACACCCCAGCAAACTGAGGCATATAAATAACAAGCGGGACAGAACACCAATGCTTCACCAGAGGCGCACTACAATGTTACCTAGCAGGGTGACAAAACGTTTGCAACCAAACCCACTGGCTCAGCAAGCATGTCTACAACCTCATCCACAACCCGAGCTACAAATCTTCTCAAAGACTTTAATCGAGGAACATACCAGGGGCAAGTCATGGAGGCCAGATAAGTTTCAAAAGCCTTTGCGCTTTCACAAGCTAAAGGTTCAGTTATAGGTCAGGGCAGGACCCAGCCATGAGAAAATTGCCTGTCGAAAGGGACATTGTCCTCCTGGCATCACATCAACATTAGAGCAGCAGGCGATGCTCTCTGGACTCCACCAGTGTACCAGGATGAAGGTAGCTGGAAATGGATGGTTTAGTGCTAGGAATCAGGAGGCTGGAGGAGAGGGTCAAGGAACACAGTGCAGGAACAGCCACTAACCAGAGCACAAGATCCACAGGCTGAGGTGAAGATACTTAAAAGCCAACACCAAAGCACATTGTAAGACTTTAAGCCAATGGTCACTGAAATAACTCCACAGAGGTCAGTATCCCATCACGAGTCACCCTTTATTTACACATAGAGAGTCCTTGACACTGATCCAGCTCCCTCAGAGACAGCTCTCAGAGAGAACATAACCTCTGACAATCCTGTTTTCTTATCTGTCAGCCAGGGCTCCTTGATTGGACCAGGTTAACAGCCCCAGTCAGGAAATTATATTCTATGAGTTCCACCTGACTGACCTCGTTACAATCACTACAGTCACAAAGGTCTGTGAAGACCTCTGTGGTATTTCGCTGTTAGCTGTACACCAGTGCATCAGTGCAGTTACAGAAACTTTCTCTGTCACACCTGTAAAGCAAATCAAATGAGTAACTGATGGCATGTTGCAGGCTCAGAAGGCTCTGAATCCACTGCCTGAAGCCTCAGTAGTCTTCTGCAGCACCTTTCTTCAAAGACTTCCCCTCATTCTGGTGGCCTGCTGCACTGTCCATAAAATGACCCTCCAGAATAGCTTGGATTTTGAGATCAATAACTCATCAGAGGAGGAGCAGCAGCAGGATAAGACTATAAGAGCAGAAGTAGGCCGTTCTGCCCATCGAGCCTGCTTAGTAATGCAGTAAAGAAGGAACAACTGGAGACGGAGGAAAGTGTTTTGAATTTGAATAACAATTTATTGTCACTTGTATTTTTAGAAAAAATACAGTGAAGAGTTTTTAAGTCACCATACTCTGACACCTATATTAATAACAGAAATCATATATTAGAAAGAATTAAGACAAAGTCCATCTTTGTACATTTCACGGCTCATGGGTTCCCAAGTTCAAGGAAAAGATGGGAACCACGTTCTTCACCATTAAAGCCGACATCAAAGACACCAAATCTCGGGCTATTGGAATTCTGTGCTGGACCACCATGCCACCGAAAACGTTGCAAAAGCCACCTCAAGGATCTATCTCAAGGTCAAAGCCACCGCTGAAGCAGACCATCCATTTGGGTCATTGGAACCCCTGGCTGGAAAATACCACAGAGGCAGAGGAGTGGCAAGATGATGATTGTTCATATAGCTTTGAAGAAGATGAGGTGTCGCATAGGCTTGTCTATGTTGTTGGACACAGAGATGTCCCTGTTGCATGGCAAGGCACCCTCCTCCTGCCACACTCCTGGATGACAAATTCACCCATCTCCCTCGTGGATGCCAGGCCCCCTTGTGATACCTTACTTCCCTGTGGAGGAGTGGAAGATTTTGGCACAAACTTTCTCCCTCAGAACAACCAGCAACATGAGTGGTAGCTGTGCTGGGTGTTTGAAACCCATTTCTGGCTCCAATAACATTAGTTAGACAAGAAACATGTCTCCATGTCAATGAAAGTCTGCACTTCCATCAGTTTCCCACTGGAGGTAATTTACTGATACAAAAAACAGACCTCCTTCATGGCAAAAATCCAACACTTCTTACTGGCAACTCTAATGGGTAACTTTTGTGCAACATTTAGCCCAATACCTGCACCACTCTTATGTGAGACTGTCAGCCCACTCTCCATCACAGTCATGATAGCTACACTTCATGGCTCTCTGGCTCACATCATGCTCTCTTCCTACTGCTACACTTCATTTCCACCTCACTGTTTGCTCTTAGCACACCTTAGGCTGCCCTCATTCTCTATCTTGCAGAGCCCCAGAATGTTTCTCCAGACCTAAGGAGTCCACAGTCTCCTGAACCACAGATCTGATACATTGTGAATATGCTGTATCTATAACTGTATAATTTCAACACAATTCTTAGTCTTCTTGTTGCAGATAGGCATAGATGCAAACTTCTCTATATATTTAGCATGTCTCAGTTAGTGACATTCTTGCCTCTGGCTTGAAAGACTGAGAAAGCAAGCCATGCTTGGAATTTGAGCACAAGTACTTGGCTGACCCTTCAGTAAAATAAAAATTACACCATTATCAGAGGTGTGGTCATGTGAAACATGTAGATACAAAAGTTTCACATAACATTCACCACCACCACCAAAATATATTGACATGGAATTCCTCCTGCTCTGTTATCATAACATCAATGGAACTGGGATCAAACCACATTGACATTCATGAGTTCTTGGTGTCCAACATGATGTGAACTGCACCTGTTCACTGGGTGGCTCACCACCATCCTCTCAAAGGCAATTAGGAATTGGCAATAAATGCTGATTTTGCTCATGCCCATGATTGGACTTGTTAAAATGGGCCATGGTCATGCTTCTAGGGCATATGCAATCTTGAATTAGGAGCAGTTCCTAAGAAGATTCTGACAGCTATTTGGTTATTGATTTCATTTGTGATTTTGGCACTTAGCTGTGCAGAAGTCAGCTGATGTAAGCACACACAAAGTAACAATGATTGCACTTCAATAGTACTTCAGCTGTGAAGCACTTTGTCACGTTCTGAGTACTTTAACTTTGAAATAATGAATCTAAAATACAAGGCTTTAATGTGACCCTCAGCTGGTTATTCTTTCTAACTGTGTATCTTTGAAACACAGGTAACAAGTACACAGTGCACACACAAAAGTGTACTCATACTCATGGGCAGCAGAAAAGAGAGAGAAGGCTCCTATCTTTACTAAATGTAAAGTTTGAAAAGCATGTACATATTCTTGCGCTCTTTAAAATTATCTTCTCCTTTCATAAAACTTTACCAAAAGCAGAATTCACAATAAGCTAAATGGAGATCAACACAGTCGCTGTAAGTCTCAATGTATATTAATTCCAAGAAATCTGCTTTTATTTTGCTCTGACATTTATTTTCAGCACTGTCCACTTTCTTTTTAAGCACTAGCTTTTCTATATGCTTCCTTATGTAAGGTATGTGAAGCTGAAAAGCTCCCACTCCCTTTACTTATTATTCTTTCTACTTAGCGAAGTGTAACATGTTGTGACTTGGCAGGATGGCATAATTCTCTTCCTTCATTCCTCAACAAAAATGAAACAAAATGAACGATTCTATCAGGTGAAATCTGATATTTCAGCTGTCCTCTGCTTAGATCAAGGAAAACAGTTGCCTGTGAACATGAAAATTTACTGATATGATTCCAAGTCCCACACCATCTTGATATGGATAGATATAATTGTACCATCATTGTCAGTCCTTCAAAATTCAGGAACTCCCAATCTAAAATCATTGTGAGAGAACCTTCACCAGACTGCAACAGTTCAGAAGGAAGCTCACCACAACTTTCTCAAGAGCAATGAGAGTGGGCAATATTTGGTGGCCTTGCCATCAATGCCCATTTCAAAAAGATGCATTACATACCATCAAATTATAGTCAAAACTGGAAGTAGAGTCTCGCAACTCTCTATGATCCCCATTAATTCACACATTGAGATAATGTATGTCTCCACCATTGAACTCTTATTTAGAGTAGAGCTTTATACGTTAAGTGTTACAATGAGAACTTTATCTCATTAACTTTACCATGTCTCAACAGAATCTATTATTACCACTGAAAAAGCTGTTGAGCAGTTACTGAACAAGTTTTGTCCCATATTTTCAATGTCACTTTGTTTAAAGTTTTCATAATTACTTGTCTAATTGTGTCAAGAGGCAGCAAACTGTAAAATTGCCTAAGATACAGCAGCTGTATTTTAATAGCATGGTTTACTCACTAGTGACTTAATGGCAACATGTCAGTGAGGACTAGAGGACATTATTTGTTTGAATCTTACTTTCCTAGAAACTGAGATGATTACTGCTTTTCAGATTATTTCTGAATTTAAATCATTGGAAATTCTTGCGTTCATCAAGCTAATAGATGTCAC